AAAGCTGTTTTCCGATTTTGACATCCGAGGTTTGGTAATGAAATTCAAAAGAACATGTACAATTCTCTTCCATTTATATTGAAATTGGAGCCTAAAGTGAAAGCACATCAAAAGTCTAGAGGACATTTAGCATCTGTGGATCTAGGCTATAGCTAAAGCACAAGCTGTGTGGCTGCATTCGTTCTGGTTGCTAGAGTTCACCTAATAGCTACTTGGTCTAGCTGTTCTTCCACTTAGCCTTTTAGCTTTCCTGTTGGTATTGAAATTGCAAGCCTGTTGGTTGTATAATTTTAACTTTGAATGCACATGCAAGACAGGGATTTGATCCTTGGCTTGCTGTTCAAGCCCAGTGTCTCAGTATGGTGAAAAGCATCAATTATCAGAAACTTTCCTGGCAAATGAGCAACATCTTCCCTCTGAAGTCAATTTTGTTTGACATTTTGGGGATTAACCCAGGATTGACATTTGCACTCTTCCCATGGTGGTGTATTTAGCTGGTGTTCTTGGGAACATCATCTCTAAGTGTATATCATATGCTTCCTGCCTCTCTCACTGGAGGTGTGTGATAATTTTAGTGGAAAGGCTTTGGGTGCTGACAGGTTGATGCAATGGTAAGTTATGAGTCTCTGCAAGTGGGGAATACAGGAGAAGGAGTATTCTAATGCCATAGTGGTTAGACCCTCCCTGGGCCTGGACCAGAGGTAGGAAGTCAGCTAGTACAAGGTGAGGTATTGGAGGAGGAGAAAGCAAGAGCCGGGCAGAGGATACTGTTCTGCGGAAGAAGGAATGGAGTGGACAAGCAGAGAGCCCAGTGAGATGTCTGGAGAGGAGGGATGGAATGATCAGGGACTTGTCAGACCTCTGAATGTTCTTCACCATAAATCTCCCTGCACCTTGGTTGCCTAGAGTGGTTTTCTGTTCCTTGCACCCAAGGGATCTTTAAGTAGGGTATCTGAGGAATCGGGATATGTTTGTATTTTGAAAATCAGACCATTTTTATACATCTTGGATTGTATTTCTTATTTAATTTTTGTTTCCTGTTAATGTTTAGTATGAGCCTTTTAAATTCTAAATTTAAGTCTTTGGAATTCAGAATTTAAGTCTGAATTCTGACTAAGCTCTCCTAAGAAACAGGAAGGGAAGGAGGCCTGTAGGGGAGCTGAGTGGAGCAGCAGTAGTGGTATTGGCTGTGAGAAGCCTGAGAAGAGAGAAATTCCGAGTTACCAGGCTCTCCTCAGGCCCCTGTCAACTTCATCATCTTTCAAGTGCTTGTCCTTGATGGGTGGTCACTTCTTTGTAGGGCCTCATGTCCTCATCCTCTCATGAAGAGGCAAAACCAGGAGTTCTCTGAGACCTCCAGGCTTTGTGACTTCAAGACATGGGGGTGATTCCAAGTTAGAGTGAAGAGGTTGTGCTGGTTGATTTTGGTTGACCACTTGACTGGACTGAGCACACTTCTGGGTTTGTATGCGAGGGTGTCTCTAGGCATGATTGGCATGTGGGCCAGCAAACTGAGTGGGGAAGACCCACCCTGAACCTAGGCAGCACCATCCCATAGGCTGGTGGTCCAGATATAATGAAAAAGCAGAAGGGAGAAGAGTGAATGTGCCCACTTGACCCATCTTGAGCAGGCTCTCTCTATATATCTATATCTATATCTGTATCTGTATCTGTATCTGTATCTATCTATCTATCTACATCTATATCTATATCTATATCTATATCTATATCTATATCTATATCTATATATATATATATTTTTTTTTGCTTCTGCTGTTGCCCATGGACATCAGACTCCTGATTCTTTAGCCTTTCAATATGGACTCTTGTCAGCAACTCTTCAAGGACATTTTTGGCCTCAGACAGGGGCTGCATTACTGACATCATCCCACATACCCCTGCTTTCATGTTCTGAGGTTTACAGATTCTTGGACTGAGCAGCTACTGGTTTCCCTGTCTCCCCAGCCCACAGATGGCCCCTGTGAGGACTATTCTGCCTCTGATGGTACTCATCTATTAAATGCCCTCTTTATAACTATGATATTCTATTGGCTCTGTTTGGAGAAACCTCCCCGGAGGACAATAGAATCGTGTGAGAACCCAAAAGACCATGAGAGGAATCAGATTCCCAACCAGCCAAGCTTTTCCTTTTTGAGGAACACAGACCCCAGTTCTGCACCTGCCTCTAACCCTTTCCTGCTCTTCTCCCTTCTTCTACACGTACGAACACATTTCATGAAAAAAGGATTGAAGGGAGCTGCCTAGGTGAGAAAGACGGGCACCTGAAATAAAAAGCGATTTCAGCTGGATAAACACGTCTCCCCTTCAGCCTCATCTTCAGCCTCATGGGCTGCCCTCTGATCTACTTAGTGTCTCACATTGCACAGTTGGATGTGTAACCTCAGCACAACTCCACCGTTTCATCATGGATCATCCTGCTTCATCGGGACCCCAAGACTGGAAGGGAGGAGGAAGCAGCTCACCAGCCCAACATTCATTTGCTGGATGTCTTCTGCATACAAAGCCAGTTGCTGAATTGCAGGAAGCCAGAACCGGCAGAGCTCTAATAAATCATCTCCCGACTGCCGGACTTAGAGGCAGCGGCATTTACATGGAGAGGTTAAGTGACTCGCTTAGGGTCACACAACAGAGCCAAGGCCAGAACCCAGGTCTCCCGTCAGCAGTTCATTGTGCTTTCTTCTCCATACCATTACCAAGGCAAGGTGAAGATGATGGATTAGTTCATGTGAGCGTGAAAGGGAGGAAAACACACACATTTCCCTTATGTGCTTTAAATTAATAAGGACCCTGGATGGAAAAAAAAAATGCAGATCGCAAGGAATGTTTAGCAAGTGAAACTGGAAAGCATGAAAGTCAATTCTTTCTTGCAAATGGTAATTGTGTTAGGAAAAGCAGAAGAAAATTTAGGGGGGATGTCTTAGTCTTTGAGTTGCTATATGGAATACTACAGGCTAGGTAATTTATTAAGAAAAGTTCCTACAGTTCTGGAGGCTGAGAAGTTCAAACTTGACAAGCCCACATCTGGCTAGAGCCTTTGTGCTGTATCATCCCATGGTGGAAGGCGGAAGGGTAAGAAAGTTCAAGAGAGCAAGGGCAAGAGTAAGGGGGGACCCAACAAACTTGCTTCTGTAACAACCCCACCCTTTTGATAATTAATTGGTTCTGTGGATAATGCATTAATCCATTCCTACTCACCTCTTAAAAGTCACACCTCCTAGTGCTGCTGCATTGGGGATTAAGTTTCCCACACATGAACTGGGGGCACATTCAAATCACAGCAGGGGAGAAGGAAACTTCTGGTTTTCCTTCTCTGCCATGTTTGCTCTTTAATTCACATTCTCATTTGCACACAACATTCTCCTTATGCTATTTTTCTTTTCCTTGACATATTCAGCACCTTATTTTCATACCATACTATAAATCTTGCGATATACAAGCTTTTAAAGCAACAATTTTTAATGCAAGATAACACATGAAGCTTTGAACCTCCCAAGAAGAATTGACTAGGGACATCTGTCGTTAAAATACTTACATTATCTCCCTATGGAAAAGCCTGATATCTATTTTCTATCTTAAAATGTAATACTGAGATGAAAATAGTTTGGCATTTTGAAAACAAGAAAACAACATCAACAACAAAAATACCCTTCCCCCAAACCCTTCTTTTCTTATTTCAAGTCAAGAGCCTCAAGATAGATCATTTGACATCAAGAGGTAGCATTTGCAGCAATTAGTTATTTTTAGATAATTGACTACATATTAATGCCAGTTAACTAATTTTTCCTGATAGGAACAGAAGATAGAACTAAATGTGCTATTGAAATTTAATTCTAAAAATATAAACCTTGTAGTTTTTCTTTGAAAGCACTTTTGTTTATTTTTCTTGATAGCCTGAAAATAGATATCCTAATGTCTTTGATACACATCTTCATTTAAAATGTTTTCCAGAAACCTCTGAAGGGTCTGGGGTCCCTTTGGGTGCTGTGAGGTATGGAAGCTTTTACTTTTCAGGCCTGAAGAAGCTGTGGCTAGAGCTTTGGGGCAAGAAGCATCAAAGCCTTTGTTAGTTTCCACTTCCAAGGGCTAAACTGCAGATCCGGGTGTGGGGGTGGGAGTAGGGGGAAGGTCACCATGTGGTGCCCAAAGGTCCTTTGTGGAAGGCATGATAATTATCTTGCTCTCAATAACTGCTCATCAAATGACTGCCTATTTGAAATGTGAATCTTGGATTGATGCATGTTCTCTCCCTTGATTGTTCATGATCTGTCAATATCTGTATATCTGTTTTAGGGTGAAACCTCTTCATATTTAAATTAAGGTTCATTTATTATCCTAAACAACAGAAAAGAAGGTTGAGTTTGGAATGATAATATGACTCCTTAATTTCTAAGTAAAATAATAAAGCAGATTGGGGACAGTCACCTCCATGATCAGTTGAGTGATGGGGCCATAGCTCTCCACTCTTGTCCTTCCCCATTGCCTGGTGAGCTTTTCTGGTATCAGTGCAGAGCCCCAGGGTGATATGGAGAAAAGAGAAAGCGCAACCAGAAGCACCTGCCCTCTAGGTCTTACCTACAGGTGGATAGACTGTAGCTCAGGGTGCAGCCCCTCAAACAAATTTCCAATTGTTAAGGTTAAAAGAAGACTTAACCTTCCTCATCTACAGAAGAACAGAGAGGCAAAGGCTAGCCAAAGGCCACATGAGTTTGTTAGAGGCTGAGACTTGTACTGAGCTCTCCTTTTCCAAATAAATATTCTATGAATCATGAGTGCAAATGCTATTTACTCACAAACGTTTATTAGCCTCTCCTTCCCTTCAGGAAAGCTAAGATTTCTTAAATAGCATACCAAAGGCTTCTGTTTTTCATTTACACTTGCATTAGGGAAGAGGACAAATCTATGCTCTGACATGTTGGCACTGGTGACTTAAGCATGCAGCATCACTTGGCCTCTGGATTCAGAACATTCACTGCACTTACCCATACTGAACCACACCCATCAGAGGACCAGCAGGGCCAATGTCAAGGGCCTGGGCGATGTCAGCCAGGAATTGCTTCTGGATTTGGAATCGACGTTTGCCAATGCCGGAGCTCCCATCAATTAAAAATGACAAGTCTACTTTGCAGTCTGAGGAATGAAAAAAGACTCTATTATTCTGGTTCTCTCCCATTGTATCTTCCTGGGGTTTGTGTTCCTTTCTTTCTCTGCTAGCCCATGGGATTTCAAGGAGAAGAGAGTGGAAAAGAGGTAGTGGTGCAGATGTACTCATTTCTCTATCTCCTGACAATTGCCCTGAACACCAGGTCCTGGATACATGTGCTCACACTTGTTTCCATAACTGTTTTAGAACTCTCTGGATCAGATAGTGATACCCCTATCTAGCTTGGGAAAACCCTCAGAGTGGATTCCCAGGCTCAGATCATAGAAATGCAGACTCTCAGACATGGGAATTCACCAAAACTGAGTCTGAAAAACTTGTGGCCTTTTACTTTCATCTTAACTTTTTTGAAATATGTGTCAGGTCTTTATAAAAGTGTGAAAGAACCCGAAGCCCAGTGCTAAGCAGACAGTAGGAACTGCAGGATAAGAAGTAGATACTAACCTGCTTCCCCAGATGAAGTAACCAAAGGAATTATCCATATCTACCTATATGATATCAGCACTTGTTTATGATTATGTATTTTTTTCCCTTTAATTGTGAAAAGACGGGGGTAGTTGTCCTGGCTTAGGATTTCTGGACCTCTGCAGATACAGTGGTCCTTCCTTGTCTCTACATGGGGCATGTTTCAGGACCTCAAGAAGATACCTGAAACCACAGATAGCACTGATACTTATATATACTGCATTTCCCCCTGTATGCACATACCTATGTTATGGTTAAATTTATAAATTAGGCACAGTAAGAAATTTGCAAGAATAAAACAGAAAAGATATAACAATAGACTGTGCTAAAATTTACTTTAGGGCAGGGAATATACCTCAGTTGGTAGAGTGCTTGCCTTACATGCATAAGGCCCTGAGTTCAATCCCCAGTACCAAACAAACAAAAACCTCATGGATTGGTTATTTCTGGAATTTTCCATTTAATATTTTGGGCCATGGTTGATTGTGGGTAGCTGAAATCATAGAAAGTGAAATGATGGGAACAGGGGGACACTACATAGATAAAAGTTATGATACAGGTAGAGGCAATGGTGGGGTTGTAAGCTATTTTCAACTTTTCTAATGCTAATAGGAATCAGTGAAAAGCCACACAGGATATCAGAAATTAGTGTGTGTTTTTTTTAAACTCTCCATTATCATCTCAGTATGATAAAGTTGATTATTCAACACTGACCAGAGGTTCTTATTGGGAGCTGTATATCCCTATGATTTTAAAAAAATGAAGAATGAATTATTAAACAATTGCAGTTTGGGAGACAAAAATATTTCAAAACAGAGTTCCATATAAAGAAAAAAAAGAGAGAGAAAGGAATTTCTGGGCTGGAATATCCAAGAGAACATGGAGATTCATACTGTCCTTGTGGGTGGGGATCAGTCGCCCATGCAAGCCTGCATCTCCCTCAGATGTGCGTGATTGCCCATGTTCTGTACACCATATGCTGCTGTGGGACTGCAGTCTTCCCATCTCTAGGAAGAGAGGCTCCATAAGCAGGTTTGTTATTATTTGAAATGGAAGCAGTAAGTGAACATGAGTTGAGTTTCAGGTAGGAGAATTGATGTGAATATCTATGGATGGGTGACACTGCAGTCTATGGATGAAAGAGGAAAGTTATATCTGAGAATGTGTTTTATTATCTTGCAGTGACTGCATGACAGCCAAACCTAGAGATGATTTTGAGAAGGAGGAGATGACAGGGACCTCTCTGGGTCTGTCTGCCTCTGTTCCATCTGGAAGCAGGGCACTGGTCTGTGCCCTGGCTCATCTGCAGATCTCAAAACTTTCCTCTCTGGTCTGCCTGCACTGGATGTTCAAGGCCTATCAATACTTCTGATCAGCTGGCTTCCCCTGTCCTCTGCTGCCCCTCAAACTGCCTATATCCAAACATGATCTTTGAGATGAAGATTAGAAGAAGTAAATAAAGTCAGATGTAGAATTTAAAGATATCACTAAATCCTGGGATAAAGTGAAGTAGTACTGCTGTGCAGCTTCTCATCTGTTTTTTCCTCCAACAGGGCCAACTCACTTTCCTAGGTAAACCTTGCAATGTAAATTATTGCCAGAAGGTGGCAGTGGTGTTCTTCAGGGCTTGCCGCCCACCAACACAGAGGGTTGGTTAGAAATGTGGACCTTCGGACACTCCATTCAAATCTACAGAATCAGATCTGCATTTTAATAAGATCCCTAAGTGATTCATGGACACAGTAAAGTTTGAGAACACTCCTCAACAGGGATTTTTCTTCCGATGTCAGCAGATTAGTTCGATATGCCTTTTAAAATAACTTAAAACAACAGTGAGAATAAGGGCTAAAGGGGAATTTCTTCCATTTATTTTAAAAGAAGAAAGTACATGATAATTTTCCCTTCTTATTTTTTTTTTTTTAACATCTTGAGCTATGTACAGGATGACACAGTCATTTCATAGTTAGGTGTTACGGAAGTGTCATATTTCTCTATTTGCTTAGTTCTCTACTTCCCTGGCCTGAGGGTGGATACAGAGTTGATGCTTGGGAAAGGTTGCTCCCCTTTTCCAAGATGTTTTAATGACAATGGTTCCAACTTCTGGCAAATGCTGGTTAAGACCTGCTGGCTTTCTCATATTGACATGAAACCATGCTGATCTGAAGATGACTGATGGGTAGAACTGGGCTGTGGAATGTTCAGAGTGAATGATTTTTTATGATCACAGAGAACAGAGTTTGGAGGACAAGAAAGAAAAGGTAAAATATAATGTCTGCAGGAATCAATGATTTTTAAAAATTGTTTGGTCCAATTCTGCATGGTACAATTCCATAGATTAATGCTTTGTATTGTCCAATATATCAGGCCAGAGTTTCTTAACCCTGGATACATATCAGAGTCATGTATGTATCAGAGTTGCTTATGCTGTTTCCATAAATGATGATGCCTGGACTCACTCTGGGTAGTGCTTCTCAAGTCTTAATGTGCAAAGAGATCATTTGCAGGTATCACTTGTAGAATCAGTAGGTCTGGGGTGGAGTCTCAGATTATACACTTGTTATAAGCTCCTGAGAGATGCCAATGATGCTGGTCCCCAGACTCCACATGGAGTAGCAAGGTATATGGAGAGTTTGACATAGTAGGTGAGGCTTTAGAAAGCAGGATCTCTAATTTTAAAAATGTTTTCAGGTGGTTCTCACATGCAGCAGAACAGATTCACAGGCCACTGGTGGCTGACTGGTAGAGATTTTCTAGAGGAATCTGCAAGTGCTTTCTTTTGGTAACTTTCAAGATATTACACCTTTCCGGTTTTCTTCTCTTTCTCTGGTCCCTCCTTCCTGGTATTTTCCAGTGTCTTCTCCACCTAATGCAGTTCTTCAAGTTCAAATCCTCTATTTCTTCCTTATCTCCCTTGGTCACATTTTCTGTTTTGAACCATATTTCTTTATCTTCCAACTCTAAATTTCTTTTGTTTATTCTCATGCATCTTAATAACTATTAAACATTCATGATGATGATGAGGAGGAGGAGTAGGTGGAGGATTATTCTTTGAGAAAAAAGGTCAGAGTACTAAGTGGTAACCTGAGTTCCTTAGCTCTTGTGAAAGCAGTTTGGTGTGTGTGTAGCTGTTCAACTTGGTGTGTCCATGAGAACATGATCACCAGAGGATCTTACCCAGTTGCCATCTTGCTCTAACCCCAACTCTAAATATTTGACTGGGCTGTTCTAGTCAAATATTGGATCTGAGTAATCATCTCTTAGGCTGAGTGCCTCATGGACAATCAGAGGAGAGACAAATGATCTCCCAGCTTCCAAACACGCTCCATCCTGTGTTCCTCATTGCAATGCTATTTACCTAGTTATTCAGATCATTTTTAACTGTTCCCTCTCTCGTATTTCCACCCCAACCCTATAGATTCTTCCTTTTCTACATCTCTTGAATCTGCCCATTTCTCACCATCACGACTCCCAGTTCCAAGCCAGCTGCCATCACCTCCATGATACCACAGCTCCTGCTGATCTGCCTGTTCATTCCGCTCATTCATCCTTGTCTCCCCAATTCCTTGTTATTCTTCACCTTGTGGCCATAGCAATATTTAAAAAACTGGATCCTCTCCCCCTCGTGCACACAGTTGTTTAAATCTTTCAAAAGTTTCCTTTTCTTCTTAGAACAAAGTGACAGAAGAGAGGAGATAAATAGATCCATGGTAGGAGAAAGGCAAGTTTGGGTGGGAGTGAATAGGTAGAGAAGAGAGAGAACAGATCAAATGTCAAAACTGTCATGGGTTGCTAGTTGTCAATTAACTTACTTGGATCTCCCTGGGATACTGGCTCCGAAGACTGTGTGCTTAATTCTTCTTTTGGAATAAATCCTGGAAAGAACAGTAAAACTTTTGGTGACTTACCAGCACAGGAAACATCTGGCCTGATGCCAGAGACAGGGACAGAATGGATATTCATGCCCAGCTCAGGGGCTTGGCTGATAGCTAACTCTTCTCTACACTACCCCCCCATTCTGAGAAAAATAAGAGTAAATTAATATTTACTAACAGCCTACTAAAGATAGTACTCTGTTGGGGGCTGGGGCAGAGGATTGAAATCAGGAGACTTGAGATCTACTCTTATTTTAACTTATTCTATTTGAGTCTTAGTTTCCTTATCTGAAAGCATTAAGCACTTTGCAAGTACAAATGATCCCTCTGTAAAATTCTGAACATCTTGAGGTCAGGAAATGTGTCTGGCTTATACAAACCATCACATGTGGGTCTTCCATCAACATGTAGTGATTGAGGCAAAAAACAGAGATGAGTAAGACACATGAGGGCAATCTAAAGGTGGTTGGATATAGACTAGAGGGGAAGAGCTCAGAAAAAATCAACTCAAATAAGAGGGTGCAGGATGCATCCTCTCCACCCAAAAGTTTGGAGGTACAGACACAAACAAGTTCTTGCTTGGAGAGGCTGCATGTAAGGTGAGTTTCACTCTGGCAGAGGTGGGGGTGGTTCTTTAGAGCCATTTACTTGGAGCCAAATTCACAAGTATACCATTCAAGGAAATAAAGGCAATAAATGGGAATTCTCTCAAGCTTGGTGAGACCAATGAGTTTCCCAGGCAGAGCAAATGCACAGCATCAGAAGTGGGTCTCCCTGTTTCCAGGATGGCTGGAAGCCCCGTGAGGAGGGTGCTGGTCTCTGCCCTTGCTCTTAGCTGCAGTGTGCTTTCTCCTGGCTCGTTATTTTTTCCAGTTTGTGAAGCACATGATTTCATCTTCCCATTAAAGGTCAGCTAGCTCACCCTACGTCTTCACATCATTTAAAATTTTCTCCTTGGGTGTTTAACAGCATCTCTCTGCCAGAAAAAAAATCTCTCGGGGAAACACCCCAAGGCTCTACTTGGTAGGGAGGGGGAGAAAAACAAGTTCAGGGATCGAGTCCTCTCCACCTGATTCTATCAGTAACATCTTCCAAGAGAGCTGGAAGGCTCTGTTTGTGGGAGTTTCAAACATTCAGTGCAGTAAACAACAACACCCACTCAGGTGAGGGGAAAACCTGACAATGTGTGATCGGGAGGGAATGAGGGTCTGAATGCATTTTGGAGTGGGGAACCAATTCCCTTCTGGCTTTTTGTCTACGTATTTCCTTTCTTTTCTTAGTCTCTTACTCCAGGCCTTCCTAGTTGAGGTTTTAGTGTCCTCCACAGGACCTCAATGTCCCAGGTGGAGGCCATTACAAAGGCTGCTCTGGATCAATGGGCTTCTCCTGCCACCAGCTGGATTCCTAGACCCTCCATGTTCTGTAATCCTGTGTCTCCATACAGCCATGCAGAGAGGTTGGTCTGTAGAATTACCTGCATCTAAAAGGACTGGTCCAGGCTTCCATAAGTCCATTTCTCCTGATTTTCAAAATTAAAAAGAAACAAACTTGTTATTCAAACCAACCCAGCAAAAACACTCAAGTGAACGGCCGGGATGATGTTCCCCAATTTTGGCAGAAAGATGAGTGAAGGAGCGTGGCATCAGAATTTTTGATGAAGCAACCTGAAATGTGTGTGATTATCTCATCTCAAGCTCTGGAAGCCAAAGGCATAAACATCACCATCTCTTTCTTTTCTTTCTTTGGACACCAAGAATAATGGAACAGAAATCCTAGGATTCTAAAGGACCTTAGAAGCTCATCTAGTCCAAAGCACCCTCTCAGCCTGCTCCTACAACATCCCTGTCAAGTAACTGGCTGGTTGGTGCTTTAATATCTCCAGAGACAGGAAACTCATGATATAGACAATAAAAGTAGGATTATGTTTATTCTTTCTTGGATTATTGAGACTGTGAGAAAAAATTTCAATGTAGCAATCTGAAACCTTTTGACTTGAATCTTTTTCCATCTATCAATTCATCCATCCACCCCACCCCATACTTATTAAGCACTCAGTATGTGCTTAATATTTTAAGTACATCTGTCCCACCTGTTTGAATTCTCTTCCTTAGAACTACACAGAGCTAATCAGGCCCTTCAGGGAGCAGGCAGTTAGTTCACTTGTTTTTTGAGTTTCAGCTCCTTATTTGTGTGCCTTAAGCGGAATAAAGCAACTTGGCACCTGGATTCTACATGGGACAAGATGTTCACTGTCTTTCACCACCATCTGCTGATGACGCAGAAAGGGTAGAGGGGAGGGGGCGATTCTTACCAAATAACCCTTGATCCATTTGGGGGGATTGTTGTTGAGAGAGGCTCAGAGGCAACACAAACATGTCAGGGAACCTCATAAGAACACAAAGATTGCTGTTCCCCGGCCCCAGCTCTGTCTCTTTTCCTCTATTAGAAGGCTGAGCCGCATGATCAAGTGCTTCATTTCTTAAAGCCTATTTACTTTCCATCTGGCTGAAGTCATTAATACACTCAAAAGAAGAAATCTTTTTTCAGTATGTGATTAAGATGCCGGGCAATTCTGAAGGGCAATTTGTTTTGCACATTCTAGTTTCATGGTGAGACCTGTTTAACTGGACTCAGTCATTACCCAGGTGTGTGGCCTTGAGCAAGTCATGTACCTTCTGTTGTGGACCTTAATTTCTTAGTAAATAACATTAGCAGGGTGGATGAGATGGACTCCACGTTCAAAATATTTATGATTTAAACACTCTTGCTTCTTTAGCTTTATGACTCTATTGCCACCTACTGGTGAAGAGATACACTGCTCCTTTCCTAAAAATTGGTGCTGGTAGCCTCTGTCTTTTCTCAAGCCCCCTTTCTTTAAATGTCATGAAGATTAGAATTTATAATTCTGGGTGCTCTAATATTTTATCAGGAGGTAAAAAAACCCTGACATCAGGGATTTCCAAGTCTCCTACTTCTTCTGGAAAACTGTCTTTCCATTAATGCTACTTTTGTCTTGTTTGGGACAAGTTTGAACCAAATCACCTTCATCTAAAAGCTGAGGGCTAAAAAATATTTGGACAGCTGAGACTTGGTGATTTTTGGACTTGGTAGTAATAACAAGTAAATTTGTGGGAATATTTGAGTTCTGGCATCAAGGAGGAACAGGGTGGTATGGGAAAATAGAAGTCAGAAGACCCTTCCAGGGTCTGCCAATCCCAGGCTGGGCCTGGTTCACCCCACCTCTACAGTTCACCTGTGATTTTCTTCTGAGGTCATAAATACCCGTCCTTTCCTATCCCATGGAGGAGACTCAGAGGACATCAATGAGCATAAAATCACTCTAAAAAGTATAAAAGTATAAGTCCCTCTTTAAAAAAAAAAAGAAAGAAAAAGAAAAAATAAAACCCAGGGAATTATTTTTGTGACAATCCTCACTTGGCCATACCATGACATATTCAAATCTAAGAAAAGTGTTGATTCTGAGCAATTTCCATGGTAAAAATGCAGAAACCACTAACATTTATCCAGAGCTTGCTCGGTGGGAGGCACACACACTGAATAAGTGTTAGATCACGATGACCCTATGAGTTAGGTACAACTAAGATCCCTGTCTTATTGGAGAGGACACTGATGCTCAGGGAAAGGCAGAGCTGAGGAGTGAGCAGCTGAGGGCTTGCATTTAACCACCACCTGTTAATCACAGATGAGGAGGAGTCATTGGCTTCAGCATCTCGGGGTACTCGGTTAGACCACTGAAGAGCTAGGCCTGCCACGGCCACTTGTAGCTCCCACTAAGGTTATTAAGTCTTCAAAAGGGCCTGGAACCAACCCTGGTCCTCAAAACCTAGCAATGAACTTTGTACTGGTTTTAGTTCCTTCTGTTCCCCTGCTGGAAGTCACCAGAACAGGACCCAAGTGGGAGTTACAACATATGGCCCCTTAGGGCTTTTATGAGACAAGCCCTGGTGGCCCTTCAGCTTCCACATTCTTCCCCACTGGGTCCCCTGGGGTATGGTTTTTATTATTATTATTATTTTGTATTAAGGATTGAACTAAGGGGTGCTCAAGCACCAGGCCACTTTAGCCCTTTTTGATTCTGACACAGGATCTCACTAAGTTGCTAGGTTGCTGAAGCTAGCTTTGACCTTCCTTCCTCTGCCTCCCGAGTCATTGGGATTACAAGCACACAGCACTGTTCCCAGCTAGGGAACAGTTTGAGAAGAAGGTAGAAATCTGAAAGACAGGAGGCTTCTTGAGGTAGAGGACCTTCAGGCCTTTCTTCCCTCCCCTGGCTTCATGTCTTGAGGTCTGCACCTTTCCCTTGAAAAATTTCCTCTCACTGCACTGAAATGGGAAGCATGAGAGAGCAGAGCCCTACAGCTGTGCCCAAGGCATTGCCATACCAGCAACCCATTGCATAGGGACTTTCAGAGAAGACTGGGGACAGTCTGAGGTTCTGGATCAAGCCCTTATACCAGCAAAGCATCAATAGTCCTTGGTTTTTAAGTGAATTACTCTCTAAGACTCAGTGTGGGATGTTTATTTGGGACCTGGTAACCTTTTCTCATGGAAGCAACATTAATTCCATGGTTAGGTTTTCAGGCCAGTGCAGGGTATCACGTGTGATAGTCCAACTTGAGTTCACAAAATCAATTGTACGAAGATGAGTTTGGGGTCATCTGCTTCTAAAGAAGAAGACAGAAAATCCTAAGGACTTTTTTAATTACATGCTCAGAAAAAGATAAGCCAAGGCTGAGACACAGCTCCCCCCAAGTGGATCCTGAGATGTTTTAGGGGGAGAGCAGTTCTTTGGCACACAAACATTGTGCTCTGCTCTGGGTGCCCTGTTTCACGAATCATTTGCAGGCTACAGCATAGTTAAAGCATGTTCTGCCAAGTCATGTAAGGGCCTGTTGGAGGGAATGGAGAAATTTATTCTGGAAAAGATGAGACATAAAGGAAGACATAAAGTCTAGTTTTATGTATTTGAAAGGCTCTCAAATTTGAGAGATTCTCAGTTTCAGTCTCTCTGTGCTCTTAGAAATTATTGAAGATCCCCCTTTTTTGTGGGCTATATGTATTGATTTTTATTATTTAGAAATTAAAACTGTGACTTCTCTCATTTGAAATAAAGTATCGACTAACAATGTATTTAACTATTAATTCATTAAAAATAACCTTTTATATTTTATCATAAATCTCATTTTTTTTTATGGAAAAAGAGGCTGTTTTCCAAAACAGAAGCATTCAATGAAATGAATGGCTAATTTCTTCAATGTATGTCATAATAGAAGACAGCTGGAATCTGATATCAACATCTGCAACCTGTCATGATATACTGTTGTTGTTGAAGTATATGAAGGAGATCTGTCCTCATGCAGATGTAGTCAAAAGGAGGACCCCACAGAATCCCTGAAAGTAGGGTCCTTGTAGCACAGTCTGAGAACCACTGGTTTAGACAAATTAGGAACGATGGACTAATTAGTTAAGAATAAGGGTTTTCATGACTAGTTTAAGTCTGAGCACCTTCCTGCTAGGAGAGTTCTCCAAGGCAAGGACACTCTTGGAATTCACAGGAGAGTCTGAGATGCTCAGAGAAAATATGTAGGGATGATGGTGAGGAGGGGAGGAACATGGGAAATGGGAAGGACTGGAGGAGGGTAAAAAGGGAACTAAGAACCTCGAGTGGGTCAAGGAGACTGGGTGTAATTACTGGGAGCATGACGAGGATTGGAGAAGAAGCAGACTCAGGTGAAACAGAGCGAGGATGAGGAAACTGGAAAAAAGGGAGTGGAGTCAAGTACGTTTGGCAGAATACAGCCTTGAAACAACCTAAAGGTTGTGAGTTAGAAATGGGAGATGGAGGTTGTGTTTGTGGCCACCACCTTCGCAGACTGATTGACGTGGTGTGTCTGCATATTTGTGTTTTATTCCAGAGCCCAGCCTGGGGATGTGCCAGGGAGTACAGAGGCTGCTTAGGTGGGGTACCTGGCAAGGGGACATAAGACAATAAGAGACCTTGGGTATCTGGGTTGGTAATGTTCTGTATGATGCACCGAGAACAGACAAAGCAGACATTTTTTACAAGGAAAATAACTTGGCATGTCCCCAAACTCTGGTGACCTGGAGTTGAGCTGCAGATGCCAAGAATGGGTGTGGGAGATCCATATGTGCAAATACTGCAGAGCAAATTTCTAGAGTGGGGGGATGGTAGGCAGTGGTTGGCTTACCGAGGCCGACATCTGCTCCCATGGGTTCCTGGAAGGCAACTCCAGGAGAATCCTGTTTTTGGGTACCTGAGGGGATTGACACAAGGTCAGCTGATTTTTACATGCAGCCAGCAACTGCTTTCTTCCCTTACTTTGCCCTCTAATGACAGTGACCCTAGTTCAGATTTTCTTTGCAATCTGCTGAATGCTCTGTGGTAGGCTCACTTTTGGTTGTTGCAGAGGAAGCAGAAATCCTGGTCAAGGAGACAAGAGAAGAAAATACCCTGGCTTGGTCTTCCAAACTGTCCCATGGGCCTGTTGAGGTCTCAGATGGTCTTGGAGTTCTTGCCCTGGCCAGTGTTCTGATTCCTAAGCCTGTTTAAGCACACCATTGTGAAGTCCATGAATGTTGCTAGCCCTTACCAGGGAACCCAGGGAGCCCCTGTTCACATTTTATATATATATATATATATATAAAAAACAAAGCCTACGATTTCTAGGACTCTTTTACCATGTGGAGAGCAGATGATTATCCCCAGAGGAAGAAGACTGAACTCTTCTCTATTGTAGGCCTGGATCCTGATCCTACCGCCCTGTGACCTCAGTGCCTAGCACAGGTCCTGAGCAGAGTCTGTGATCCTGCTGTTTCCTTTCTGAATCTGTGTAGTCCTCTCCAGTGTTGCAAGGAAGAGAATTTGCTGCATTTCCAGTTCTAGGGTCAAACCACTGAAGAACTCCCAGACGCAAAGAGAAGTTAGCCTAGGTGTCACAATTCAGAGGGAAATTCCTGAAGTAGAGAGAATGTGTTTCTATCCCTTTATTCGCTCCCCGCTCCCAGCATTGAATCCAGGGCCTTGCATGTCCCAGGCAAATGCTGTACCACTGAGTTACACCCCCAGCCCCATCTATCCCTGTATTAGAGAAGTACCCAAGCATAACTGGCTCTGCGCTTGCCTTACCATTTTAACAGAGTTCCTCAAGCATAAAGCCCATAAAGTATCCCTTTTCAGGTTTTCTAAGAGCCTGGTTAGGGATCCTTAGGGTTTTCTAAAATACCCTGCATGAAATCACCTCAAGGGAAGGAGACTGGGGAAAGGCCTTGTTTATTTAACAACGTCCTCACTTTCCCTACGATATCTTCTAGTGGGCCATTTGGTTCAATACTCTGTCCCACTCTAAATGAAAAGGCAAGGATTTGGAAATGAAGAACCCCCCTGTAAAGAAGCAGCTAGAAAGACAGCTCAGGTTCCTACCTGGCTTTGCCCCATGACTGTTTTGTCTGCATGTGTGTGTGTGTGTGTGTGTGAGAGAGAGAGTGGGGGGGGGGGGTTGGCCAGAGATCTGTAATCACATTGGACTGGTCAGAGCATGAATTTTAATCTAACTGTTTTCATTCTTTCCATGAGCCAGCCTAGCAAGACATTGCAAGGTAGGAACCAAGGAAAAGCCTTGTCCTTGGGCTCCTTGGGCGGTCTGAACCTGCCCTGCAGGAGACATTGAAATGGGGGAAAAAAAAAAGAAGAAAATGGATTTAGCTCAAAACACTGACTGGAAATTCCAGGTACTAATAACCCTTGTATTTTACACTTGTCAAAGTAAGTTTCTTTTACTAAAGTGCCATATTTATTTATCCTTTATTCTTAAAATAATTCTCGACTGTGCCACTTGTGGGGAGGTTAAAGTAATCCTTCAATAGAAATGTCACTTAACATTTAGCAATTTGCCTAAACTGCATTAACATGGTATTGATGCAAATAGCATTAGCTTTCAGTCATTTTTAGAGGTACACAATGGTTATCCTTAATTACTCCATGAGAGAATCAAATATACTTTAGCACTCATTATTTACTGGGCAGTTTCTCTGAAGCAAGATTTTAAAAGGGAGTAGGGAGATGAAGGATTCTATAAAGAGAAATGCAAAGCCCCTGTTGTGGAAAAGGAGGCCACGTAAGAGCCCGCAGAGGGAAACAACCATGTTTTATAGACAGAAAGATAGAAGGGGTCAGGGAAAAATATCAATTTCTCTTAGAACTGGATCTATCCACAGTCAAAAATTTGACTCTTTTTTTGTTTGTTTTTGTTCCAATGATTTGACATGAAGTCAAAGTAGTTTTGTTTTGTTTTCTAATCATAAAGATAAGATAGGCTTGTAAAAAAATTATGTACTATGCATAGTAAGAAATCCTCTTTTATTCTCTCTCCAGCAGTTTCTGGCATACAATTTTGGTATGTAGAGTTTTTTTCTCTGCCTTCATTCTCACCTCCAACACACATTTACAAGAATGGGAGAGGGACCCCCATGTTGCCTTGTCTCCTGCTTCCTTGACTGAACATTCTGGATAGAGCAGACTTTTCATGTCAGTATGCGCACATTTGCAGCAACATTTTCACAGCTGTGTGGTAACTTTAACCGAGCTTCTAATGATGGATAATTAAATCATCTCCATTTATTTTTCTATTATGAACAACATCTGTGTCCATGATTCTTTTCACCCTTGGCTAATAATTACCTTAGGATATCATATTTTTGGAAGTGTGACTACGGGGTCATTTCTCCACACTCTGCAGCAAGCTGTGGATTATCAGTTTGTAGTGCAAATTGAGGGAAGAGTGGCATTTTGCTATTTAATTTGCACTCATTTGGTTCTTAGTGAAGGTTGAACATCTTTTAAAAAATACATTTAGGAGCCATTTGCAGTTCTACTGAAGTTTGCCTGGCCATGACCTTTCCCCATTTTTCTTTTGAAATGCTTATTTTTGTTTTTTTTCCCCCCCTTACTTTTGAAAGACTGGATTTTAAGAAAAACTTTCTCCAGACACTTTGGGGAAAATAAATTTCACAGGTGAGAGAAATGTCGGTGAGAAGGGAAATAGTATGTGGAAGGACTAGGCTCTCCCTTTCCCAATTTCCTGGTTTGCTCTTCCTGGTTGCCCTTGTCCAGCGGGTGGAACAAAGGGTCATGCCATTGCAGTGCTTTGCCACTAGGCTGCACTCTTCCTCCCCTTTCTGGTATATTGGTGGTTGGGATAGACTGGCTAGATCAGCTGAGGCAACCTAGGCACGCAGGTCTTGAAATGGAAAAACAGTACTTAAAGGGCAGCCACTCCACCTTCTAAGCCTGTGAAGTGTTCACCTGACCCTACAGGGGGGCCTGGAGGGACTTTCTATATTTCCCAGAACTCTTTCCTAAGCATAACTTTGGATCTGCTTTTTAGGCTGCTCCCTCTGGCTCTGGGATGCAGCATGGTGGCTGTTTGGCTTCCAGGGATACCAGTTCCATCCTTGACCTCTCCCAGGAGGAACAGCCTCAGTTCTGCCCCTGTAAGAAGTCTCTGTCACCCTGGCTCTTGGCTCCCTTACTCTTTCTCTTTTGTTTGGTTTGCATATTCATGGGTCAGTGAAGTGGCTGCAATGTGTCCAGCCTCACCTTTAAATTTTTTAAAAATTGGTGCATTATAATTACACATAATAGTGGGATTCCCTGTGATGTATCTGTACATGCACAGAACATAATTTGGTTGGTTTCATTCCCTGATACCTCCTCTCCCCCTCTCTTCCTTCCTGCCCACGATCCCCTTCCTTTCCTCTGTTGCCTTCCTTCTATTTTCATGAGATGCCCCCAAGCCTTTTCACATTTTTCACTCTAGCTGCCACATACAAGAGAAAACATATGACCTTTGACTTTTTGAGTCTCAGTCTCACTTTTTCTTTTCTCTCTCTTTCTCTTTCTTTCTTTTTTCTTTTTTTTTGAGACATTCCAGTTAGTTTGGCTTCACTTCTTGAGCTAGGAGAGCCCCCGTCCATCGGCTTCCAAGTTTCTACTCTCCACCAGCCTCCTTCCAAGTTTACATGTCTTGATGAGAGGCTGCTTTTGACCTATTGTAGGGCAAAAATGACTCACAGATCTTAAACTCAGGTAGCTCCTGTTCTAGCTACACACTTGTCAGGTGTCTTAAGCTGACGTGACTTGCTGCAGATATCTTAGTGGGATGTGCCCAATGTCCTAGAACAAACATTCAACATCTCTCTCTCTCTCTCTCTCTCTCTCTCTCAGGTACTGGGGATTAAACCCAGGGGCACTCACTGAACTATATCCCCAGCCCTTTTTATGTTTTTTTAAAATTTGAGACAGTGTCTTGCTAAGTTGCTGAGGCTGGCCTGGAACTTGCAATCTTCCTGCCTCAGCCTCTTGAGTCACTGAGATTAGTCATGTGTCACCATGCCTTGCTCAATAAATATTTCTTTCATACACACACACACACACACACGCACACACACTTTTATTTAATTTATTTATTTTTGTGTGGTGCTGAGGATCAAACCCAGTGTCTCACATGTGCTAGGTGAGCGCTATACGGCTGAGCCACAACCCCAGCCCCAATAAATATTTCTTAAGTGAATAAGTAAACAAAGATTTGCTTGAGTAATCCATCCACAACCATTTTTAGATCATTTTGACTGCAGACACACACACACATATATGAAAAAAAAATCTCTTAATAAATACAATAACAGCAACTCACTATCAGAAGCTTGACGAAATTTCTTATCATTGGTAAAGTATTTTCAACTCATTTGAAGCAAAAAAGGGAGTTATCTAAATACTAAATATTTGATATAGTTGGGCTACAGTATCACAGCAAATATGAACCTGGGGCTGGGGGGAGTGGTTTAGGGGAAATGGTGAGTGACTGTTCACGGGTGTGGAGTTTTTTGGGGAGATGAGAATGTTCTAGAATTGACTGTAGTGATGATCACACAACTCTATAAAAATATACACTGAAAATAAGTGAGAAAATTATGGTATGAGAACAGTATCTCAATAAAGCAGTCATTGAAAACACCCATTAAACACCCATTTTTTTCTTTTTTTACTACTTTTATGCTTACAGAACACTCTTTGAGTAGGCAATACAACTTGACCATCGTGGTGCATGATGCACACATGCTTGCTCTGAGGATTCTTCCAGCAGTGTGTAGTCAGTATGAAAGTGGGTGCTGGGCAAGTTCAAAGAAGGAACATTGATGGGCTAGGAGGCTGATGTCCAATGCTCCTGTCCCAAGCCAGGAATAATGAAGCTTTGCCAGGCTGGGAGCCACTACTTCAAGTTTCTTGAGATTTTCCACAAGGCCAGCCCAACTTGCTCCCAGTGTTCCCAAGTAAATATGCCACATGTTTAATTATATGTGTTATGTAAGAATTGACATCCTCTAAGAGGCACAGGAACAGCTTATTCAGATACCCAGACATTTTTGAAAGCATTAAGGACTCTAAAGTCAAGAGCCTGAAATTATAAAAAGAAAAACTAGCTATGGGACCTCTGTTAGCCTTGGGTCACCTGGCCTCCTTTCTATTTCTCTTTTGCTTGTGTTGCCTCAATTAAGTCACAATAAGATGGTGGGTAGGTGTTGTCTGGTATATTTCAAAACTTCAAAAATTATTTTTATGATATTCTGATTTGGAAACTTTATACCACAGCTTTTTCCACGAGTCTTCTATAAAATAGAATCATAATAATCCCTGTCTCATAGAGTTGTTGAGAAGACTAAAACAATGTAAGCAGTGTGCCTGGCCCTTGGAATGTATGGACAGTGTGCATCCTGCCATTTATTAGTTGCCGAAGAAGTTGGGCAGGTCTAGCACTCTCTAATCTGGACATCCCATCATGTCCAGGTGTGCTCTGCCTGGGCCCTGGTGTTTGGGATGCCTCCTCCAGCAAGGGGAATCAGAGGGGACCCAGGCTGCTGGACTTTGAATTCCTGCTTCGCTATTCTTTGCCCTGTGACTTGGAGCCAGTTTCCTAACTACCCTATTCCTCGATTTCCTCATTAATACAGTTAATACTTCAATTAAGAAGTAATATATTTACTTTACAGGTTGCTAAGGATTCCATAGGTTATTCTGTAAGTTGCTTGGAAAAGTGCCCAACACATTGAAAGTGTTGATTCACCTTGTGTTAAATCAAAAGATGGATAGACAGCGGGGGTCTGCCAGGGAACAGGGAAGGGCCAGGCTACACGGCAGTCATGATTGGAAGCTTGAGGTCAGGCTGAAAATAACAAGTTCTGGGGATTTCTTCCTAGAAGGAAAAAGTGGCATTGGTGGGAAATACTCAGAAAAAAAATTCTCAGGACAATAGAATTCCAGCTGTGGAATCCCCCAACCCCCACCAGAAACTCTTTGAGATGAGATAGGTACCTATTAGCAGTGCTGATGTAAGCCTATGTAGAAACTTGAGATTGGATTATCAGACGAGTTTTAAGGCCCTGTTGATGTGATGCTGCTCTTTGATAAAATCTAAAACATGATTTAAGCAACAGATAAAAGTGGTCAGATAAAAAGAAATTAGGACAGGAACAAAAAATTTCAACTATTTGACTCTTCCTCAAGATTCCCCCCCCGCCAATATTTGAAGACTTCCAGCTATAAACCATTTGCCTCTTAAAAATACCAAAACCCAGCCAGGTGCAGTAGTGCATGCCTATATTCTCAGCAATTGGAGAGACTGAGGCAGGAAGATGGCAAGTTCAAGGCCAGCCTCAGCTACTTAGTGAGACCCTGTATCAAAATTAAAAAAAAAAAAAAAAGGAGGGGGGTGGAGGCTGGAAATGTAGCTCAGTGGCAATATACCCTGGGTTCAATCCCCAGTACCGAAACCAAACCAAACCACACCAAAAACCAGTAACCCAACAATAGTTACATAGAAACCAAGAATCCCTTTAAAAGAGCTTTTGGAGAAATTAGGGTTTTTGTAATAGGCCAGTTTCATGTAATATCCTACCTTTGAAAGCACTGTAAAAGTAGTCCTAGTTTGATTATGGGAAGACAGAACCACATACCAACTCCTGGTGCAGGTCTCAGCTGCTCTCCACTTGCCTGGCTGAAGAGGTGGGGGCTGAGCCCTACATATCAATGTTCAGAAAGAGCTGTTACTCTGAAGACCCCAAAGCCTACTCTTCTAGTACACAGCAACACATGGTTCACCTACTCACCCATTTCCCAGCTCCCGTGGCCCACAGGCTGAGGTCTGGGGCTGCTGGTGGCAGAGGTTGCAAATGGGAATGGCTTTGGCAATGTGGCGTGGGTGACCTCAGCTGCTGGCATAGCCAGAATCTGCATCAGGGTGACTGGCTGTGCAGTTGTCCCTGGAGCAGATGGCCTTTGATAGGCTTTTGTGGTCTCGCCTGTAAGGAAATGGAATTATATACCAGGGCCTGCAAGAGTCTATAGGCTCTTGGAGGACTAGAAATCAAATAAATGTTCACTGAACACTCGCTATGAGCAGAGACCTGTGCTGGCTGCTGTGCAGGGGGAAATCTAGACAAACAGCCTGCAATTCCTGCTTAAAGGAATGTTCAATCTCAGAGCAATAGGCCAACCAACAAACCAAAGACCAAATAACAACAATATACTTAACTGACAGTTAAACAGTATAGCAACATAGACATTGCAGAACATGATTAGTTGCCAAATTAATTTGCCAGGCACCATGAAGAGGGTTTGTGTACTCTATGACTTACTCTTAGAGATTGCATTCTAGCTGTTCTAGTTTAAGTTGGTTCATTACCAGTTAACTAACTCCTCTGGGCCCCAGTTTCCTGGTCTATAAAAACGGGTAATGAACTGACTCCATGGTAAAGGAGCATCTAGATTCGTCTTCTAAACTGTGATGACTTGGAATGCTTCCACAATTTGAAGCTCTGCCATATAGCAAGTCTCAGTTCATTAGTGATCTGGTTGCCCTGAGGGGATCTCTGAAGGTTCAGAGGAAGAGGAAAAGTGGCTACCCATTGAGTATTGGGGACTATCTTGAGAACCTAGAACGAGATGCCCTGTAAGGTCAATAGCACCTCAGTCCTGGTACAGTTCTGTGTGCCTGTGGGCCCCAGTGGGGTATGCCAGCTTCTGTATCTCTATCTTTGGTGTCTTAGGACTGCTATAAGAAAACATCTCAAACTTGGTGGCTTACAAAACCAAATTCATTCTCTCAAAGTTCTGGAGGCCAGAAGTCCAAAATCAGTATCAGTGGGCCAAATTCAAGGCATCTGCAGTGCTGAGCTCCCTCAGGGAGGGTAGAGGATTCAATGTGTTTCTTGCCTTGTCCTGTTTCACCTGGTGGCTGGCCTTCCTTGGCTTTTGTCCTCTTCAAGCCTAGCAGCCTCAATTATTTCTCAGCCTCATCTTCACATAACCTTCTCCTTTATGGGTATGGAATTATCTCCCTCTGCCTCCCCTTGACACGTGTGCATATGATGGCTTTTAGGGCCTACCCAGGTATTCCAGGGTAATTTCGCCATCTCAAGATCCTCAATCACATTACAACATATGAGAAAATATTCACAGTTTCCAGTGGTCAGGACGAGGGTCTTTGGGGAATGCAGAGCATATTTTGTCCTGCCACAGTATCCTGGCTCCAGCCTTCACTCTGCCTAGGGATGAAGCACTTTTTTGGTACATGGAACAGTAGGCCAAGGGGGGTTGCATCTGAGACAAGAGTAATGGAAATGTCATAAATCAGGCAGACAAGGTAATGAAAATGTCAGAAATGTCCCTCTTCGTGGGAATCATCTCACTCACTCTTCACTCTTGTTCAACATTGTAGATTGCACAGCATCCTGGGAAAGTAGCGTCAGAACCATAGTCCTATGGACAAACTTTTGGTGGGTGTTCAGATCCATTGCCCGGCACCAGCACCTGCTCCTTTCTCCACTCTGACACTGTCACTTTCTTGAGAATTCCATCACTGACCAGGAAGGGCAGTAAGCAAAGAGTGAACCTGGAATTCAGCCATTCAGTCCACTCTGGCAGGCATTAGCCAGTCAAGGCAGGAAGCAAATCCCTCATTCACCTTGATGGTTGCTAATAGTTGGTCTCCTTTAAATCTGTCTGTACACTGTGCCAGACAAGTCACTAAAGAGTTGGAGGCCACCTTGGGGGGTCAGCTTGCCTTCTAGTCTTCAGGCCATTCTCAAGCAGGACCAAACCTGCCTGATTTATGACATTTCCATTACCTTAAAGGGTCTGAGCTTCCAGAACAAGTCTAGGGAAGTTTTTATTTTCTCCGGAACATTCCCCTGTCTTACACTCAGGAAAATGCTAACAGGCATTGATGCCTCTTTAGGGAGATGCTGGCCCGGGTTTAACCTTCTTCATCCAGGGAAAAGCCATATAACAGAATTGCTTGTACACTTTAGGAAATAGGATATAAGAATTAATTTGAAGAGAAATATGTAAATAAGCTGTAAATATGTAAAAAACTTAATTAATCTACAGTATACTAAAAATAAAACTTCAACTAGCAAATAGTGAACATTTTAAAAGTTATTGCATATTAAAAACAAAAATTTTCTTTTTTCTTTTTTTTTTGGTACACCATTGGCTAATTCCAAGGCTTTAGAATACCCTATCCTTATTGGTGTGCTCATAATGGTTTGCTAGAGAGAAGTAAAATATCCTGGGGACAGCCATTGCTGCACTTAGGACGCAGGTGCTGTCAAACATTTTGTAAATTCAACCAACATGGCCATCTCTCCGGTCTTCCATGAGCTGTTTCTGCCTGCTCCCCTTCACAGATCTGAACTCGCTTTAAGAGAGAGAGACAGAGAAAGTCACTTTCCCTGCCCCAGCCTTACGAACACAGTGCTTAATCTGGTCCAAAGGGAATTCTTCATGGAACCAGATTCTTTTTGAGCAATTTGAAGTAAAACCCATGAAATAGTTTTTTTCTTTCCACATAATCTCAGATACTTGGTCTCTCTTCAAAGTTTCAAAGATGTTCATGGGAAAGCTTTTCAAAACTTCCCTTAGACTCTTAATGTTCTATTCTTTTGGACATAATCAAGAACAGCCCCAGAGAGCTCCTTCCTACACCTGGCCCCTCAGCAGAGTCACCGTGGAGGTGTTATGAAGGCAGACTTTAGGGAGCTGTTCACAGAGATGTCAACTCACTGAATCTGAGGTGGGCCTGGGATTCTGATTTGGGAATCATAGCCAGGACCAGGCTCCACTCTGGGCTCTCCCTACCAGCCCTGCCACTATAGCTTTCTGAGCCTGGTTCCTTTTGCTGTGCCATGGGCATGGTCATACCTACCTGGGAAGGTTGTTGTCATAATTAGAGGTCAAGTCTATAGGGGGCACATGCACACCATGCTTGACACATGGCAGAAATCCCATAAGTGGCAGTAGCTGACATTTATCCCCATACTAAGTCTCCCCCTCTGCTGGTGGAAAACAGTGTTCTCACTAGGTGTCAGATATGAGGTGAAGTGAAGGAGACAGAGGTCAGAAGCCTGAAGCCAGTAGCTGGTTTAGCAGCAATGTCTGGAGATAAGAGTGCTGGGGGAAGATTTGGTTCTTCCTATCACTAACTCATCCCATGCCTCAGGGTTAGATATGAGGGCAGGAAATGCACTATTCATTGAGCACCTACCATTTGCCACATTTCAAAGTCCTCTTTTACACAAACATACACATTTAATATTTATCATGATCCAGGAAGTTGATTGAAGTATTCCTATTTTTGAGATAAGGAACAAGTTTTCCAAGAGGTCAAGAAATGCATTTAGGCTCACATGGACACATAGGTAGCAGAGCCAAGATTTGGACTCTATGTATTTGATTCCAAGTCGATGCCTCCTCTCTGCCTCCTTTTTCCATAGAAGGGGGAGAAAGTGGGAGGCAAGTCTTGGGAAGGTTTAGGATCCCTAGATGTGGTTTTCATTAGAGGTGACCCAGAGCCCTTTGAGATCTCACAAAGCTATTGTCTTCTATGAGAGGGTAAGGAGTGGCCTTAGTGGGTAGGTTTGGGCAGTGAGGGAAGAGGTTCCTAGAAAGTCAAACTTACTGCAATAACCTTCAGTTTGGCTTTCTTCCAGGTGAGGGCCTTAGCATTTGGCCAGAGGAGCTGGGCAGGGGGTGGGCATGGGGCGGTTTCTGGCTGTCTTGCTCAGTAGCTTCAAATAAAGATTTACTTTCCCTTTTCTTGCTATAGTACCAGGAGTGTCCTTTTATTTTTATTTTTATTTTTTTTGTAAATTTCTACAAATGAACACTTACCTGATTTTATTTAGCTCAGAGTAGATGGAAGCTCTGGCCAAATAACAGTTGCCTGCCTGATGCTTGCTAACTGCCTGGGGGAACAGCATGTAAATCTCAGGTACTGTCTGTCCTCAGCATGAGCTGCACCAGGCAAATCAAGATGCCTTCTATTTTTCAAGTGAGATAATTTTCCACAGAAGAAGGTTGTTATGCTTTTGGGGGTCGTCCTAACCTGATTTACCTGTTAACTCACATTCTTGGAGAGGCAAGGAAGCATTTTACGTGGGCATGCTGGGTCCTGAATGGTCTCCATCCCTTCTGCTTCAGCCAGTTTCTAAAGGAATTTAATCGTTTAAGGCAAAGCACCAACACGAGGGGCACTCTTTTGTGATTCTCACTGGAATTTTTTATTTGAATTGGTAAAAACCTACTCCATGGCGGGCATAAGATGATTTTTTTTTTAAAGCCTGAGGTCCCTCTATCTTGAAACCAGGCAGGACCCCAAGCCTCCCTTTTAGGTTGAAATGCTTATTATTATTTAGCGCAGGGTCTGGAACACTGCAGGTGCTTAATATGGGGTTACTGTGTGAATGAATGAAGGGATGAACGTAAATCTTGAGACTGGTCATCTAGTGATAAGGAGCTGATAGTAATACTCGGTGAAACTGAAACAGAAAGTTGAAATGGCTTGGTAAAGGGACAAGTGACAAAGCAATGACTGTTTTAACTTTGGCATTTGCTAGTTTATGAATTTACAGAGCAGCCAATTTCAAAATGAGTACCCAGGCCCACCTGCACTTCTCCGGAATGTTAACAACAGACATAGGGAACAAGCACTTGCTAGGAGTGGATGGTGTTAAGCTTGGCCACAGTGCTGGGGTAGATGGAAAAGTTTTTGGAAATGATCTCTGCTCTGAACATAGAAACCAAATGCATTCTATAACACCAGGCATCCCTTGTTTATAATTCCTCTCTCTCCCTCCACAACTTTACCTGTTACCAGGTGATACAATCAGAGTATGGGCCAGTTAGGACAATGCCCTTGGGCAAGTTACTGAACCTCTCTAAGGGCCAGTTTCCTTATCTGAAAAAGGGGAAGTTACTGGTACTCTGTCCCAGGGTTATTGTACCGTAGGTGGCACTAGAGAAAGTACTCAGTTCATAGAGGAATCATAGAGGTTGTGTGAGACCCTTCCCATTTTTTAGAATTGAGCCGGAAGGGCGGAATGACCCCTTCCTAAATGAGAAGATGTATCCCTGAACTTCCCCTACGCTGGGCCATTGCAGTACCATCTGTGCAATCACCAACCCCTCCTCTCTCTAGGCCAGTGAGCAGAAGGAAAGGTCCAGAAGAGGGAGGGCTTGGTAGCCAGGTTGTGGGGAGTGCAGTATTCAGGGCAAGAGAATATTCCCTCCCTTCCTTCATATTTTGTCCTCCCCATACAGAAGAAGGTGCCGCAAGAGTCACTCATCTATGTGCAGGGGTGGGGGGGAGCCGGGCATCTCACTTCCTGCCCTCTCCCTGAGGCTCAGCAGCCACAGGCCCTGCTTACGCGCTGCAGAAGCAGACTTGGCAGGCTTTTAGGAGAGTATCCTGGGCGTCTAGAAATAGTCTACCCTTTGGGGTAAAAAGAGGAAGTGCTTGACCTGTGGTTCCTGAGGTTAGGGGCTTACTTGAACATGGGGATTCACTCTGCTCTAGGATCTTCAAGAAGGGGACGAGAGGGCACCTGGAGTATCCTAGGCCAGCAGTCCTTAAATGTGAAGAAGAGGAAGGTGACCTCACTCTATCCCACAGTTCTCAGACCTCAAAGGGGATCAAAGGGAACCCCACAATTCCCAGAGCTCGTGTTCAGGGGCTGCCCAGAAATAGCAACCCTTATTTCACTGCTGTGTACAAGTGTGGATTTCCAGGGGTGGGAGAAAGGGGTGGGGGCCCAATGAGAAGGTCTAGGACAGATGGACAGTACCCCTGTGCCCCACACACTTCAACTACTCAGAAAATCACTATGTGAGTAGAAGTTGTGGGCTAGGGGAGACAACAGGACACACCTCTTAAAGATGTCTCTGTCATCTGTTCCTCTTCCCTGTGTCCACACCCAAAAAGGACAGGTGATATCTCAGAAATGGTCCATAAGACTGGCAGCTTGTAGATTGGGGTGGAGAAGAGCTGTATCCTTATAACTAACCACATCTAGATCACCACCATCATTAAAGATACAGATGATATAAAGATATAGTAACTAGGAAGACAACAACAAATTCCTATTCGTATGTCAATGCTGGTCAAATTGAGAGTTTCTGTATTCTGGTATTAAAATAAGAAAAGTCTAGGATAGTGATTTAGGGAGGAGTTTTTGGAGCCAGACTGTCTGGGTTGAACTCTCATCTCTGCTACTTTCTAGCTGTTTGGCAAAACGAGATCACTTAACATCTCTGTGCTGCATTTTTCTCGAACTGTACATTAGGGCTAAGAATAGTACATGCAGATGGTAGTCTGGGGTGATTAAAGGCAACAATCAGGTACAGGTCTTGGAGCAGTGCCTGGTATTCAGCGAGTGCTCAGCAGATGCTAGCTTCCACTGCCATTCTTAAACCTGTTCACTCCACATCCGTGACTAGAACCTCAACTACATCAGCTCATCCTGTAAGCTGCTGGGAGCAAACACCAAATCCCACCAGAAGGCAGGTCCCAGACCACGATCATGCACATGAGTTCTTGATTAAACACTGAAATACGGACAGAGGAATTCCTTGGCCTGAGGTCTACCTGTCCTTGTCTTGCTGTTCCCTTGGAAGCTGGGTGGGCACAGTCCTACAGACAATGTATTTTGGCTGGGGTTGTTTAGATTAGCTGCTCGCTGTTATCACAGAAGCCACCTCGTTCTCTTTGCTTCCTCCCTTCATTTCATACTAAGTAAATCTGGCTTTTTTCCTTTTAGTTGCCAGGGAACATTTCCAGACAGAATGTCATGTCATCTTCTAAAGCAGCAATGCAGTGAAATTCAAGGCAGCAGTCACTCCAAATAAAAATGACACAAACGAAGGGACAATCTCAAATTGTAAAAACAAAAAAATTAAGCCTTCACTCCTTAGTCCCAGATGTCTGCTCCCATTGATGTCCGTGCCATGCTTCTGGCATCGGGTAAAATATCACCAGAGTCAGTGTGGCATGACCAGTTAAGATGTTAATTTCGACACCATCTCCTAAAACACAATATTGCTTATGTTTACGAACTCAGAAAGTTTAGATTAAATCACAAATGAACACTTGCCTGCTTTGGCATCTGGGCTTTTGGATGATGAATATGTAAGAGTTGATGGGTAGGTTACACCCTTTTGGGGTTTACTTTCTGCAAAAAAAGAAAAAAAAAAGATTTATTTCTAGAGTTGGAGATTTTAGATGGTTCTATACCGGTAAGTTGATTTCCTCCTTCCAATTTATCTCGAGTTCAATAAACTCAGTCTCCTTTGTACTGACTTGTTGATTACAATAAGAAAGCCAAGTGGCATTTTGTTTTCTTGTATGCCCTGTGTTTTATTAATGTTAGAACGGAAGCAATAAAATCTCCATAACTCAGTCGTTTAGCATTAGCAACCCTTATTTCACTCATGATGATATGACCTGTAAGTTAAGGTTTCATGCATGTGGCTTTGAATGCTTAATTATGACAGCAGATGGACTTGAAATGCTGCACATTCTCTCCTCCCAGGTGCAAGGGCTCTGGGGTCCCTGGCAGGCTATACGTGCATGGCCATCTCTCATTCTCAGACTGCTCTGATCCATTCATATTTTATGGTGGTAGAGAAAACTGAAAGTAGGTAAATATAGATCAGCCTTGAAAATAACCAAGTGTTGCCACCCAGGGAGAGACTTTAGATGCCCAGCGAGGGTGTGGATGGTACTGTCTAACAGGGGAAACAATGGAAGCATAAAAAGGAAAAAAGATTAGGTGATCGACTGGGTAAGCAGCAGTAAGCTTGGCAGGATGCAAACTGCCTGAGAAGGCTGCTTCCTGCGAAAGTCTTCTGACCACGAAGAGGAGCTGCCTGAAATTCCAAGGGAGCTTTGTTCTGCAATTAAACTGAGAGTGCTGGTGGAATGCAGTAAGCCCCCTAAAGGCAAATAATTTGTCTGAGTTGGTAGCTGTTGAATTCCCAGGGCCTCAGGCAATGTCTGGCATGTAAGGGCTCCCGGAGTCCTTGTTCCTGAGGCTGAGGAATGACGCCTAGGCCTCTGTGAGGATTCATACACCCCGGGAGGTGGGTGTCCATTGTGATCCATTATTTACATGGAATAATGGATGCACTGTGGCTCTCGACCTGAGGGAATTCTTTTATTAGAGGATGAAGGTTGTAGAAGACATGGTAAGGCACAAAAATCCTGGCGGGTGGGACTAAATCTTGCCAAATATCCTATTGGCTCAAGAGATTGTAGGGTCTTAGGAAGTGCCTGGGCCTGGGAGTCAGAAAAAAAATCTAGGCTCTAGGCTTCTGTTTCAGTTTTCCTTTAATTAAGCTGTAGCAGCTTCCAAGACTCTTGTTTTTACATTCAGAAAATATGAGTAATGGTATGGCCACTACTTAACAACACAAAGCTGTAAGAAAAAAAAAAAAAAACAGCTCATGGGTGAGACAATGCAAGAATTTTCAGAGGTGAAATGATTGGGTTATAAGAGCTTTAACCTAATTGGTGAATTAATCCTCTGTTATGGATTAACTAGTTAATAACCTGTAGGCAGGTAGGTGTGGCTGGAGGATGCAGGTCACTTGGTGGCATGCCTTTGAGGTTTGTAGTTTGTCCCTGGTGAGGAGAGCTCTTTCCGATTCCTGTTTTCCATGTTCTGAGCTGCTATTCTCCATCATGCCCTTCTACCATGTTGTTCTGCCTCACCTTGGGCCCAGAGCTATGGAGTCAGCCATCTACGGACTGAGACCTCTGAAACCATGAGCCTCAAATAAACTTTCCCTCCTCTGTGTTGTTCTCGTCAAGTCTTTCGGTCACAGAGATGAAAAAGTTGACTAAAACAATATATTTAATATATACTGAAAACATATATCATGTACACATCTATAAAGATGCAAAAACTCATTCTGGTGTCACCTATAAGTGCCACTCACAGGCAAAATGAGGCAAAATCACCTGGGGAGTACAATGTGGCATTTCCAAGTTCTCCACATGGGTCCAAGTATGCTCCCAACAGATACTAATTGGGGCCATTTGAGAACCCATAAGGGCCCCACGGCTGTGGGCCACATTTTTATGAACAGAAAGCGATCAGACACATCATCTCCCTGCATTCATTATTCTTCTCACCACTAAAACCTAATGTTTCTGTTTCTATTCAGAAGGAAAAAGAGCATGAGCTGAGTTTTCTGAAATGTAAATCAAAAACAATTGGGGGTCCTTCACTGACTTTTAAAATCCCAGGACTGTCCAAAGATCATGCTGACCAAAAATGCTCATGCCCCTCAAACCCGGTTTCCCAAAGCAGATTAATTATAGGAGCACAGTGACCTGTAAAAAATTAGAAATAAAAACCTAGAGAAAGGTCATAAGGATTCTGACATGATCCAGTTAAACTCGTTGGCCATGAACCTCTGAATAACGGGGCGTTCCTTGGCTGCAGCCTTCTGCCGCAGTGCACTCCGTCACTCATCCACTGGAGAGGCTTCCTAGCCACCGAAGAAGCACAGATGTTTATTATCGTTGGCGAAAAGTACTTTCGGTTAAATGTCACTAGGAGGAATGAGGGGAGATGGAAGTTGAAATTTATAGGGAATAATCTCAGCAGATTGATTTTCATTTTAAAAACCTAAAACATCTCTTACTCTCATGGAATTAATTTTTTCTTTTAAGCCTCTGGTGGGATTCTTGAGTTGCAGGCTGAGCCCCTTAAGGTTGAAATGCTCTTATTTAGCCAGGGGTTACTTGGAAACACCTATGTGGAGATTATATTTCTTTCTGTCTCAACATATTTGTATTCTGGACACTAGCATTTTCAGATGGTCTGTTCTGAGTTCTGTTATGAGGCAAAGACCCGCAATATTGCAGTTGATGCCCTTCCACTATCTGATAAAGAAACCAATCCAGTTTGAACCCGAGTTGTATAGAACCTGGCAGGCAACAGGGAACAGGGATTGTTCAATTTGAGAAGAATCCTCAAAGGTCTGTTTTTAGTTGTATTACAACCCTGACAGTTGGAGGGTAGTCGGGTTTAGGGCACAGGATGCCTAATAATGCTAGAGAACCATCCAGGCTGGAAGACCTAGTATGTTAGGAGACATTTCTCTGCTTCAGTTGCCTCTTCATAGGTGGCTCCTTCTCAGGAAAGTCCCGTGACAGTTCCAGGAAGATATGCTAGAATCTAGTTTAAGATCCTGCTGAACTGTCTTAGAGAAAATGGGAGATTCAGGTCCTAAACAGTGGAGGTTTAAGTTGACATCGGAGATTGTGTTGTGTTCAAATGTTGATGGGGAATATGTCCAAAGCCTGAGGGGCCCCTGCTGGCCAATCTCATAAAACGTGAACACCAATCAGGACAGTGATAATTATACTGTATTTAAAAAAGCAATTCACCAGTCCATAGTCAACATTAAAAAAACAACAACAACAACCAAAAAAAAAAACGCACAGGTTGAGGAGAGGAAGAAAACTCCTCTTTATATAAGAATACTAGCTAATAAATGTGGAAGAGATGACAGAATTAGGAAAAATTATGATTTTGCAATTACAGTTGTTTCCATGGATTCCTGAATCTGTGGATTCAACTAACCTCAGATTGAAAATACTTAGAAAAAGAATTATGTCTGTGATGAACATGTATATACTTTTTTCTTGTCATTATTCCTATATATATATATATATATATATATATAACTATTTACATGGCATTTATACTGTATTAGGTATTATATAAGTAATCTAGGGTTGACAAGAAGTATATGAGAGGATGTGTGTGGGTTATATGCAAATAGAATATCATTTTATGTAAGGGATTGAGGATCCTGCAGATTTTGGCATCCACAGGGGATCCTGGAATCAGTCCCCAGGATACTGAGGGACTACTGTACTCATATAATTCTTACTACAGCAAGGATGAGCACTGGATATTAAAACTACCAAGTTAAATTTATTTGGGAACCAGTTAGCCAAGTTGTTTTAAAGTATCACTCTACAGATTGTTTATTAATTACGAGTATCTTTGGGAGAGAAATGGAATGTAGCCAACTAATCAAATTTACTATCACCAATAATTAGATAAATCAACACTATGTGCCTCTTGATGTGGCCATTGTGGTATGACCCCATGGATATGCCATATGACCTACCCTTTTCAAAATATTTAACCTGAATCCAATCATGAGGAAACAGTTGGAAGTATTTTTTCATCCAGATTATAGGACATGCTAGACAACTGACCTGGACTTCATAGATGTCAATTGAAATTCTTGACCAAGGAGGTAGTGTGGTGGGTGATTAAAGATACTAACTGAACATGACAGCCAAATGCAATGCATAACTTTCGATCAGATTGTAGATCTGATTTTTAGGATTAAAAAATAAATATAATAAAGAATATTTTGGAGATACTTGAATAAGAACTTTTTATTAGATGCTATTATTATTTCAAGAATATATTCTGGGTGTAGTATTGATATCATTGTCATTTTGGAAAACGATTCCTACAAGATGTGTACTGAAGTATTTAGGGATAAAATGTCATGTTGCCGGCAACTTATGTTCACATGGTTCAGAAAAAAGTATTCATAGATGATAGATAGATTGGCAGACAGAACAAATGTGGCAAAATATTAGCAATTCGTGAATTTGGGTGAAAGAAATATGGGTATTCATTGTACTCCTCTTTTAATTTTTTCTGTTAATGTGAATGTTTTCAGAATAAAGGCTTGACTTGGGGAAATTCACAAAAATAGAAAAGGTGGGAAGGGAGGTCATGATAGCACCAAGAATACTAGGTTAGCTTTCACTGGGAAACTGCACTACAGTGGTCATTATAGATCATTGTTATTAAGTTTTTGAAAGAGAGAAGAGTGAAAATGATTATCTATAAAAATCCTGTGGCTCTAGATAGGGAGAACTGATTGAATAGTAAAACAATTATTTAAACACAAATTTAAAAAATTGAAACTAAAATTGTGGCTCAGTTTTTTTTTTTTTTCTAAGCACATGTTCCCATTTGTTCATTTACCAGAAATCTTAAAAGACAAATGCCCAGATATGGGGCATATTAGCCTAAAAAAAAGAGACTAGTTTAAAAATATAAATTATTAATGCAATCCACTTTATTAAAAGTTTAATTGTACTTATAGATAGCAGCAATGTGTTTAAAATGAGCAATTTGAGGCTCTTAATAGTTCTAGATTTGACTTTGTAGTGATTTATCATGTAATTATAATTCATCGTTTCATGATCTTAGAAGAAGTCGTGCTTTGGATTTTTATGAGATGAAGTGGGCCATCAACAAAAGCTAAAAGCTCATTGAAAAGAGCAAACTTCACCCTGGGAGGTCATCCCAAATGCCTATTGTTAGCAGTGTTTCTCCAGCATGTGGCCATACCTGAGACGATGAAGGATTCTCTCCATCTTGGTAGGGATAAGGACTGAACACCATTGGAGAAACTCCCTTTGTAACCGGACTGTCCTGCCACTTTCTGAACAAGTATTTTTCCTCCTGAATTATCGAGCACACCACTATGAAAAGAAAAAAAAAATTTGAAGAAAGTACAGAAATGCTGTTTGACATCAGTAAACATGCAAGCCAGTCTCCATCTTATGTAGACATACAAAAGCAGTGAGGTTAAGGAAAAGTTTACCCTATCCTGCAGCCAAGCCCCAATAATGGTGCCTCCATCAACCTAGCCTGGTACCTGACCTGCCAGGTTCAGTGTCCTCTTCCTTCTTATAGAACCCCATCTGTCAGTCAGGAATTGGTCACCATGCCTCAAATTTCTTTTTTCCCTGGATTTCTCATTCCTGATGGATCTTCTCCCTTTTTCTTTCTTTCTTTTTCTTTTTTGTTTGTTTGTTTTGAGTCACAGTCTCACTCTGTTGTCCAGTTTCAAGTGATCCTCCCACTTTAGCCTCCTGAGTAGATGAGACTTATAGGCTGCACCACGATACCCAGCTTCTCACTGGTTCTTTCAGGTAAAACTTCTTTCCTGACAAATTCCAATTTTGTTTTGTGATATCATGGAAAGAATCCAGTCATTACAAATGGCAGTATGAAATTATTAATTTTCTTAACAGAATTTATTCCCATCTGTACTTGCTCCTTCCAAGGTATGAGTTGCTTTAGAGCTCTGCTTTAATTCTAATTCCTTGAAGAGGCATTTTTAAAAAATTACATGGTTGGGAATGGAACTCTGGGCCCCTTGCATGCTAGGCAAGTGCTCTATAATTGAGCTACATCCCCGACCCAGTATGGAGTTATTAAAAGTAAATTATTCTTTTCGTTTCAGACCAGGGAGGGAATATGTACAGCTAAATTAAACACATTAAAATAGTCCCCAGTACTGGGAGTGTAGCTCAATGATAGGATGCATGCTTAGAATGCATGAGACCTGGGTTCGATTCCCAGCTCTGCAAAAAGAAAAGTGTTTCCCAAAGACTCAAAATTGTGTCTTTTAATTTCTAAGATTTCTCCAGGTTTTAAATCCTAATGTGACAGTGACTGACATGTCTATGTTGATGTTTCTTCTTCTCTGTTAGGCAAGGGGTCCACTTTGGTTCCTAAATAGCACTTTCACAATGTCATCTCCTAGCCTCAGAGCCTAACGTGGCTTCTTTGGGTATCCATACTTCATGGCACTGGAGGCAGGGCATGAGAAAGTATGTGGATTTGTTTCTGTCGATATCTTTCCCTGGCTCTGGTAGTGGTAGTTGCCATTTCCTTCCCTCCCACCTTCACAGTGAGTCAACCACATTCAACACTCAACTTCCCAATGATCCAGAAGGAAAGAAAGTGATAATAATACTTGACATGTGAAGCACTTAATTACTTTAAAATCATGTCACGTATGACATCTCCATGGGTCCTCCCAGCAAACCTCTGAGTTGTGGAGTGGAGGGAACACTGTAATTCCCATTCCAGGCTGTTTCTATGAGTGACTGATTCACTCAAGGTCTGGTTGTGAATTGCAAGAGGAATTTGAATCCTAACTGACTCCAATCCTGGACTGGTCCCTTGAGGTCATGCTACCTCTTAGGGTTCAAGAGCACAGGACCTCCTATGACAACTCCATCTCACTCCCCAGAGTCTTTACTTCCTGCTCTCTCTCCACAATCGGGGGAGTCGGGCTGGTCTCTACTCACCTGGCCAACCACGCATTTCAACTCATGTGTCTTTGATTATGCTGCTGTTTCCCCTGGAAAATATGGTTCCATGTCTGCCTGACCAGGCCTGAGCAGCTTTCCAGGTGTACATCTATTCCCAGTATCTCCTTTCTTCTACAGATCCTGCCATTGCCCTTCACCCCCAGCCCCCTCAGAATCTTGTTCTCACCACTCCTAAAGTACTTCCTAAAGATTTCTGGAATTAATTTCATCTCTCAACTGAACTGGAAAACTTCTTATGGAAAGGACAGAATTTTTTACCTTTGTGTAGGAAGGCCTATTTGTGGTCTTTGGGCACCAGTTATACCAGGGTTTGGGAGAGGATTGTCATGATTTCAGGATTTTGAGAGCTGATTGACTTGACATTGGTAGCTTGAAATCAACCATGGTAGGAGGAGGTATATGTGGGAAAGGGAAAATCAGGCCTCCCCCCTCCTTGCCTTCTTTTGAAAAGTTGTTTGTTAAAACATTTTCCAGCATACTATTGGCTCAGTCTGAAAATTATGAGGATTTTTTTAAACAATTACCTCATGCTCTCTTTAACTTATAATGATGGGGAAAATGGGAAATAACACTTACCCTTTTCTTTTTCTCCAGAGAAATCATTCTGCCCTTGGGTTTATATTATATTACACCTAGGACTGCTTTTTTGAGGAACCATGTGCCTGTGCCCACACTCCTGTATAAGAGGCAGGAGCCCTGTAGCTGTGAGTCCCTTGTGAGGGCTATGGAAGACCGGAAACCCAGACTTTCCGACAATTGTAAATGTAGAACTATGGGTCCTCATGAGATTTGCGTGTTAGGGTAGAGAAAAGTCTCATCTTCCCTCCTAATTGGAGGGTGCAGATATTTCAAAATCAGGGAGACTAGACCAATGTAGAAGATATACTAGTGAAGGAGGGAGACAGCTGGGGAAAGGCTGTGGTTTCACTTATTGGCAGATGGGAGCTCAAAGAGGTTGCAATTTGGAGAATGTATGAAAATTTTTATCTTCATTCTCTGACAGAGCAAAACAAGTTCCACTTCTTGGTGTTCCTCAGATGCTCCGCATGGAGCTGCACACGGTGTTGATGTCCACATGTTTCCTGTCCCTGGTACCAGGGGTTAGGGATAAGCTGACTGTGAGTGCCTTGGTTCAGAGAGAAGGAACAGTGCTGCTGTTCTAGGGGTGGGCATTTGGTCAGAAATCAGTGGGAAGATTCTGCACGGAGGTGGCCTCTTCATTGCTCCATCTCAGAGAAATCTCTTTTCCCTAGCACTCGGCTCCACATTAATATAGGGTTAGTTTAGGATAAGATTGAGCCAATATACAATGTCTCAAATATGTCCATTATCTTCTTGGTTTGAAGGAATCAAGGAGATGACTTATAAGAAAACATATGAGCTTGTTATAGTATATAAATATGAATTAAAATTAACCTGAATTTCTAAGCCAACATATGCTCTCTCCTACCTTCCAGTTCTGACCGTGGGGAATTCTACCAAGACAGTGGCTGTAGGTCCCCAATGCATTTTTGATTCAGGTACTCTATGTCTTAAATCCTACCTCCTGAAAACAGACTTGCTCTTTTGGTAAAAAACAAAGGTAAAGTAGCAACCCAAATTCCAGTTTTTCCTTTTTACCCCTCCCCAGGATAGCAATACCTCTTTCCAATGAGTTTTTCCATTGTGCCAGGAAGCTACATGGCATTAGTTGGTTGAGCAGCCAATATTGTTTCTGAAGCATTCAAGCTCTTTTCTTCCACCTTCAGCTATATTCTTCTCACCAAGCCTCCAGTCCATCCCACACCCTGGGATTGCAAAGCCCTGGCCCAGTGAATGCCCTTCCTGTTTTCTTTCCAGGGTACACCTGTCCTTCATAAAGCCTTTTCTAACTCTGACTCCTGTGAAGTCTACATCCTCCTGGAGTCCTCACTTTGTACATTAAGGGATGCTGAGACTCCCTTGTTCTTATCAAAATGGGTCAACTGGGCTCTGAGCTGGAAGTCAGGAGAAATGAGTTCTAATCTTCAGTGTGCAAATAACGAGCAATTTAATTGACTTCCCTATGACTAATGTCCTCTTTTGAAAAATGGTCATGCTAACAGTGCCTCATAGGACTGAGTTGAAGTTAGGAGAGAATCATAACACCTAGATTCCTTATTATTTTTTTTAAAAATATTTTTATTAGTTATAGATGGAGGCAATGCCTTTATTTTACTTATTTTTTTATGTGGTGCTGAGAATCAAACCCAGTACCTCTCACATGCTAGGCAAGTGCTCTACCACTGAACCACAATGACATCTTTGGTGAGGTCAAATTTACTCTGTGCCTCTGTTCTTCCTAGGAAATGTGGCAGGGTAGGAGAGAGTCAGCAAGTACTGCAGGCAGCAATGCATCAACCATCTAGGATCCCAATTGGAAAAATAAAGGCACATTAGGACAGGCTCAGCCTCTGCAGCAGATGTCACTGTCTACACAGACATGAGAGTCTATACAGACACAGACAGGAGAAAGCTCCCAGTGTTGGTGGGCTGTATGGGCCTGCATGAGTGCGTAAAGCTGTGTGTGAGCAAGCATGTGTATGTATCAGTATGTGTAGGAGGCATGCACATGGCACAGATAATCACATAGGGCATGCACATGTGTATTTGTGTATGTGTGTGTATACGCTTATTTTTGGCATGAAATTGACTTTGGGGCAAAAGGGAATTTTTATTTCACAATCTGAAGTTAGGAAACAATGTTTGGTGTCATTTTATTTACTATTCCACTACTTGTACTTAATAAGTTATCATAGTCCTGCTGCCATTGAAAAACCAATTAGCTCATGAACCCTCAACAATAGTGGGGAAAAGGGAAGTATGAATGATCAAGTCTACCAGTAATTCCTGAACTTTATCTTATGTAACTTTATTTTTCCTTACTGTTTACCCTAAAGTTTAGGACATCTACTGATGCTATGAGAAGGAATGGATTTTACATTGTCACCTCTCTTTCTGGCAGAGATAATGATTGAACAAACCATTGGCTTATGTGTAAATACAGAAAAGGAATAAGTTACCAGAAGCCTGAAGAATTCAGAGACCTCATCCAGCATCCATTTGCTGAGCACTGACTTGGGAGTCACCTCTCAAAGTTGTGCTGGCAGCAGTTAGGAGCATGGGCACTGCAGCTGGCTAGACTGATATCTTTAAACAGGGTGGCTAAAGCAAAGTTATTAACTGGTCTTCATCTTTAAGAGGTGCATAATAGTAGTAGATACCACTTAGGAGAATTGGAAGACTAAATAAAACAGCCCAGGTGAAGTGCTGGGCCCATATGTGCCAGCCTTATCCTCAAAGTTATTAAGGAAATATGCATTTCCCTGTGTGTTGACCCCAAACTTATGAAAAAGTAGTCTGAGGATTTGGGGAAGGTCACTTTGCATATCTCCTCATTTGAGAAGTGACTTAGTTCAAAGAATGCCCTGTTTCCTGTCCTCCTTCCTGGATCTCAGACCAACACTTGACCTGGTGATACCTCCCACCACCCTTCTTCTCACTTCTTTGTCTCCAGGCCATCACTAGAATCATGCTGACATTTTTTCCTTCAAACTTTTGGGCATTCTTTGGCCATATCCCTCTCATTTCCTTGCCTGGCACATACAGGTAGAAACAAAAATGGCTTTGGTTTGGTTTGGTTTCCTTGTCATGAACTTAAAGGAGTAGAATTCTTCCCTCCCCATCAAGATATAAAGAGAAATGAGCTGTCTTTTCTCAGAGTGTCCTGGAAGGAGAAGGGCCACATATGACTTCTGGATCCTCCCTTTGGGATGTAGTTGCCAAATAAAATGCAGGATGATCAAATTTGTATATTTTTGTTTGCTAAATTCAGCAACCCTGCATCACGGGCTCCCTGTCAGCACCTTGATTGCTAGTTATTAAGTAGCTCAGAGCCACCTACCTGTGCACCGCGGCGCCACACACACTGGAGTAAGACGCGTAGATTCCAGTGCCATAAACATGGTACTTGGGGTCTTGGCATCCTGCTGGACATTTCACAATGAACTCAGGATTGATTATCTTTCCAGCTTTGACATCACAGTTGATCTGAGGCACAGCTGGGAAGAGAAAAGGAAGTCAAAATTCCACCTGTTGTATCAGCTTATATATGAGATGACTCCATTAGGTTGTAAGTGTTCATTTGCTTAATTTCTAGAAGTCAGAACCTGGGCTGACCCTGCATGCCTTCCATATCATGAAGGCAGAGATGTGAATAGAACATTCCTCAGACCAAATGCACAACAATGTCCACCCATTGCATTCAACCTGCTAGGAGCAAAAATGTATTCCTGTGCTTATTTGGACAATGAATTAATTTAAGAAGAGAACTCTGGGAAAAGACCCACTTCTAGTGACCAGAAATGTAATTTTGAGTCAATAGTGGGAGGGTACTGGGTTTTCAGAATATGTGTTGTTAGCTCAGAAAGAGAAAACTCTAAGACAACCTCACATGAGGAAGGAAAGCTATTCCAGGAAGGGCCAACAAAGAAAAGATAAGTCTTGAGGTCGGAGATGACTGGGGTAAGCCTGGTGGGAGGGAAGTGGATTGGTGGGGCTGCATCAGATTCAAGGGGTTGAAATGCTTGTGTTCTGTGTAGGATGTGGGACACCAAGGAAGGTCTTTGGACTGGGAGAGATATGATGAAAGTGACCTTGGTCCTAGAGGATTCTCTAGGCCTAGGTGCCAGGCCACTATGGGAGTGATCTTTTCCCATTTGCTTCAACACTTTGTGGAAAGCTGGGAACTCCCCTTATGAGCATCCAGGGAAGCTCATCCACTCTTTTCTCCCTCTCTTTGGCTTTGTCACTTCTTGCAGACTAGTCCTGTGCAATAAGCAAGTCTTCTGGAGCTGAAAGCTTGCCTGGGGGATCAGGTGGGAAGACATGCTCTATTAATAATAACTAAAAAAAGATGGGGTTGCATCTTCCCCACAAAGATTTTCCCTCAAAAACTCCTGAAGTAAAAGGTCCTCTAGGTAAGACAATCCTGGTGCCCTTCAAGATGGAAATGTATCCGGTCCTGGGCCCCGTTCTTCAGAAGAGACTCTGCAATATAAGCCCAGTTGTGATGGTCCTCAGAAACAGGTCATTTCAACCATGAAAAGGCAAGAATTTGGAAGCAAGTGCGACTGTTGCGTGCTGCGACACTGGAGGGCTGAGCTAGAACTGAAGGGGTCAACTTTCCATAGAGGCAGATTTTGCCAAGAACTTTCTAGGAATTGGCATTGTCCTTAAAGGAATGGGCTGCCTCCTGAAGCAGTGAATCCCCATTGGTGGAGGTCTGCAAGCAGAACGGTTGGAGAGGATTTCTACATTGGGTGGGAGGTGGAAATAAAACCTCTCCCAGTGCTAAGAATCTGTGATTACACGCATGGATCCAGGAGCCCTGCCAGGCCACCCACCCTCTAACTGAGTTACCAAGATGGGCTCAGAGTTGCTAATGGGTTCCAGCTGTTTCCAAAAAGCACACGCTTTTTTTTTTAACCCTTATGTACCTGAATGGGCTGAGTTACATTTCCTTCAGTCTGGAGAAAGAACAGAAATTAGAACTTCTGCTCATTTCTTACACCTCCCAGAGGAGTTTTGCCACTTAGGGCTAGGCCAGCAAGGTGCTCCTTCTGGGAACAGGGGCTGAATTTGATCACAGGCTTAAGCAATTTGTGGTCTGTATTAAGAAGTGGAGAACTGGGATTAAAACAGTTGGTTTCATTCTCCTTACCAAAGGTTGTCTCCTCACCACTGTTATTTCCTTTATACCTTTTGTGCCTTTCAACTCTGATACTCATGGCTGCATTTACTGTTTTGGGTCTAGGAGTACATTTTTTAAGGCAATTTTCTGGGGTTGAAAATGCCAAATCAGCTAATTGCTTGGTCCCTAGGTGGAACTGGAGCACGTTCGATTCTCCTTTCCTTCACAGATCACTTACGCATTCCCAAATGCATCTCCTCCTTTAGATGTAAAGAAAATGAAAGCCTTCTTTTGGATCTCAGTTCTTTGAAATAGGAAGTAACCAGTCCTGTAGCCTGGAATTACATTCTGACATAATTCAACACTTGGAGATTTGGGGTCTCCTGGCAGGCCAACCAAATCTTTTGGGATTGAGTAAAGGGGTGTAAATCCAGAAGCTTCTGCATGAATACTGTACAATGACCAAACCTGTTGAAAGACTTCCTGGTGCACACAGTACATGTGGTAGGATTTTCCATGAAATAGTTGGCTTAAAAGACAAGGGGAAAATGCCACATGGGAATATTTTGCATCCTGCTAATTAATTCCCCCCCTTCCTTGGGGGGGCATTTGTTGTTTGGTGTGTGTGTGTGTGTGTGTGTGTGTGTGTGTGTTAATTACAATGCCTAGGAAATATTTTAAATAAGTTTTGCTATATTTGTACCCAATAGGACCAGCAAAATTGGTGGATGAACTCATTAACTTGAAACAAAGGAAATCAAGCACATATGCTCATGTACTTTGGAAAAACACCAAGCAATGGCAAAGTGTGGTTAAAGGTCAAATATTTGTTAAATTTGTACAGAAAATTAAGCAGGAGAGAATGAACTAATTAAATTTTGCAGAGTAATTGCCAAAATCATTGGAAAGTGTAGTGCACATCCAGCCTGAAAAAAGCAACCATTTGTATCTTTCTGGTGGCTCTTCTTTAAGAATATTAAATAAAAGTCTCATTTCTTTACAGTATTTCCCCAGTTATTTGTGAAGTAGTTTGTTTTCTTTTAACCATCAAAGACTCTTCCATTCCTCCACTTGGTCTTTGCATTTCCTCTGAATGCTTTTGAACTATTCAATGCTTACAAGTTGGGTTTTCCTTTCTCTCTCTCTTTTGTTGTTTAGGTGTTTTTTTTTTTGTTTTTTTTTTACATTTTCTTTTCTCCTCTGGATTTTATCCCTAAAATATAAAAACCAGACTTCCTTGAGAGGACAATTCAATAGCAAGGCAGCTCAAGAAGCATCATTCTCAGGCCTGAGAGGAGCAGGCTGACATTTTGACTGATGTCCAAATAGACATTCAGAGGAGAAGGCTGTGTCCCTGTGGCTAACCTCAGGTAAGAACTTATTTGCAAGTTCCAAAAAGATCTGTTACCAAGAGCACAGGGGAAAAGCAAGACAAAAGCTTCCTCCATTCCTTCTGGAGTGGCCTGTTTCTGGTGGCAGTGAGGAAGACCCCAGGCTGTGGTCACTGAGGACAGGGGCAGTGCCCACAGAAGTCTGTGCTTTGCTGTCTGCTCCGCTCCTCCCGGTGTGTCCTCACCTTCTCCTTTGGATGGTTCCTTACGGTTTCCTGGCCTTCTTATAGTCGATATCATTTTCATGTCAGAGTTCACATGAAAGCATCTCAGTATGTGCCAAGGATTCCTTCCCAGAGGTCTTTGGAATCAGCCACCAGGAAAAGAGAAGAACCACTTGCAAACTAGATAGCTAGAGCTGCAGGATTACCTTAGACACTGCTCCAGGTGTCAGCAGCATTGATCTCTTAGTGTTCCTGGGCAGAGGTCACACCTCAGAACAGAGAAGAGGTACCATCTGAGCCACTATTTTAATATTGCACATGCTTCTGCTGTGGGTTGGGGCTCCTGCCAGGGCTAGTAACAATGATTAGGTGAAATGACACATAACAAGCCAGGTACGTAGCAGGCAAAATCAAACTGTATATTCTTCTTACTTTGCCATTCATCTTTTCAATGATCCCAGCAATGTAAGCCAATTGCTTCTGGGGAAATGTTTTTCCTTATTAATTACGGAAAGCCTTTATAGGCTTGTCTCATTGATGGTAATGAGGAAGAAATATTATAACACAGAAACACTTATGCACAGAAAGTTTTGATATTAAGATTGATTTTTGTTGGACTGTGATATTCGACCAGTGCAAAATCCCATTTTAAGAGAATTATGCAAAAATTGTTAGTTTAATGAAATAAAAATGACTATTAATTTGAAGATGAATGTGTCTTCCTTCTTGGTTCTGATATCCAGGGAACAGGTCATGCTTGAACAGGTCATGCTAATTCTTCCCTAATACTGACTTTCTTTCACAAAGCATTCTTTTCTATTTTTCTTAAACAGTTTCTGATCATGTGGAGTCTTTGCTCAAAAATTATCAATAGCTTCTGGTTGCCTTTAAGAAAATCTGAAAGTCCTTAAGATCTTTCCACAGTCCCTTCCACACAATTTCTGGGCTTGCCAATACTGTCCCTGCTACTTCCTAAATGCATGCTGTCTTTCAGACTTGGCTTCTCACCCATGGAATGCTTTTTCTTTCACCTACTTTTTCAAAGTCTCAGTCCCAGTTACAGCTTCATGCATCTACTAGAATATAAACTCCACGAGGGTGGGGATTTTTGTCTGATGTGTTGTCCATCAATGGATATAATAGAATGCTGAATGCATGAATGAACAAAGCAAATCCATTAGAAAACGCTGTTCTTTTCATTTCTAAATCTGCTATTTCCCTCTACCTTCACTTGGTCCAAGTCACGGGCATTTCCTGTCTGAACTGTTAAGACAGCAGCCTCTGTCTTGGCTTCTTCCTTCCAAGCCTGCCACCCTTTGCCCCAATCCTTTCTCCATTGGACAGCCACTGGGGTGCCTTAAAAAAATGGAATCAGATTATATCATCCTTCTACTCAAAACTCCTCATTGGCTACCTATTACTCTTAGCTTAATGTCCAAACTCCATAAGAGGGTCTACAGCCTTACAGGATTTGGCCCCTGTATGTCCCTTTACTTAATCTTCTGCTGTTGTCACATGGATGATGAGACTGTGCCGGTCAGAAAAGGCCTGAGAGAAGGAAGAACAAGGGCAAAACCTTGATGTAGAAATGGACTGAATGGTTTGAAGAACATTAAAAAACCCCTGTGTGCTGGAGCATAGTGAGTGAGCGGGGAGACAGGTCCAGGGTGAGGTCTAGGAGGTTAATAGGTATCAAATTACACGGGAAGTAGACAAATGAATAGTCCCACCACCATCAATACAGCGGTTATTCAATTATTACCACTAGTCTTTTTGAAAGGACCCTCCCCCCTCTTTTGGTATTTTTTGGTATT